GGATCTTAACCCTTGACTTGGTGTTGTCAGCACTGCGCTCTCCCAAATGAGCTAAACCGCCATCCCTATATAGGGATCTGAACTGTGGCCTTGGTGTTATCAGCACCACACTCTCCTAAGTGAGCCACGGGCTGGCCCGTAATTATTTTTTTACCAACAGTATAATTGCGTCAGTTTTAGAATCTCTTCGGTAACTCTTTAGTGAAGTACCTGTACCTTTAAGCACATGGTACTATCTGAGGCACATTTCCTTAGAGAATGTTATGCAGAATTCTCTTAGTGGTGTGGGAGCAGTTGGAATCTATGTCTTAATATTACACTAAGGTGATAGTTTTTTATATATAGTGACAATAACATTAGTGTTTTCTTCAGGACAGATAAAATAGGTCCTTTTTTTATTTAAGATGTGAAAAGGGAAATCAAATATTTGACTAGTAGTGACATTTGGGTTTTTAAGCCCCAAAGAAGAGCACTTTGGCCACCTTTTGACAAATGAACTTTTATAGCAGTTTCTTGTGTAGTTCTGTGCAGCTAGTAATAATCATATTCTCAGAGAATGTTAAGGATGTAGAAAATAGCTTATAAGTGGAAAACAAAACAAAAATTGCTTTTGTTTAGTAATATGTATATTCCAGGTGAAAACAATGTAGGCTTTTGTACATTTGTGTAGTACTTGGAGTTGGGATGACTTCATTCAATTTTGTTTACATTAAATAATGGACACCGAATCTAAGATTCACTTCGCCCATTAGTCTGCTATAGATATTACTGATCAATTCTTAGTTTTGCTGTGGATCATAATTGCTTTCAGTATCCACTCTACTCATGTAAATTTGCCTATTTGTTAACTCCCATCGAAAGAATATAAATCAATTGAAGGCATATCCTGTGCTAGGTGCTCTGGGGAGATACAACAATGAGTAAGACATGATTAGTGCCCTTAAATTGTTTATAATTATAGGCCTNGGAGATACAACAATGAGTAAGACATGATTAGTGCCCTTAAATTGTTTATAATTATAGGCCTCTTCTTCTGTCAAACTCATCCCCATTTTAGAATGACCTTCCTCCTTCCCTCTAATTTTCTATACCATTTTAGACTCCAGGCCGAATTGTACATTCAACTCCTCCAGAAGGCCTTTCAGTAATTTAGGTATGTTTTATGTTGATGCATTGTTTCCTGCCTGTACTTACTATTGTATACATATTTTGTTTAATATCTCATTTTTACATATGTTGATTATGAGATCCTCATACACACCTGTTGAAGTTGGTAGGCAATAGAGCTATATCTCTTTTGCAGCTGAAAAACTTAAGGCTCAGACATGAAACAGGATTCATTAGCAGCCATCCTCCATTTTCTCCAAATCTCCCCCAGTCCTAGGCACCTACTAATCTACTTTCTGTTTCTATGGATTTGTCTATTCTGGATATTTCATATAAATGGAATCATATAATATGTGACTTTTTGTGTCCGGCTTCTTTCATTTAGCATAATGTTTTCCAGGTTCATCTATGTTGCAACATGTATCAATATTTAATTCCTTTTTTTGGCTGAATATGCCATTTTATGGATATGCCACATTTATTTATCCATTTATGAGTTGATAGACATTTGGATTGTTTTCACTTTTAGACTAGTATGAATAATGCTGTTATGAACAATCATGTAGAAGTTTTTGTATGGATATAGTTTTCGTTTTTCTTGGGTATATACCTAGGAGTGGAATTGCTGGGTCATATGGTACTGCAGTTTAATCTTTTAAAGAACTTCCAGACTGTTTCCAAAGCAGCTATACCATTTTACTACTAGCAGTGGTTTATGTGAATAAGGGCGTATGAGAGTTCTGATTTCTCCACATCTGCTTCAGCACTTGTTATTTTCATTTTTTGATTATAGCCTGGCTTTTGACTATAGTTTGAATCCTCCACCTTTTTTTTCTTTTTCGAGATTGTTTTGGCTATTCTGGGTCCCTTGAATGTCCATATGAATTTTAGAATTAGTTTGTAAATTTTTGCAAGAAAAAACCAGCTAGCATTTTGATTGGGATTGTGTTCAATCTGCTGGGGAGTATTGCTATCTTAAGAATATTAAGTCAGGGCCAGCCCGGTGGCGCACTGGATAGTGCGCCGCTTGGGAAGCGCGGCGGCGC